AGAATATCATGGAAAAGTTTATTTATTTCCATAATTCCATTCAAAAAGTTAAACTTTCACAGATTATAGATTCAGGGCCCACAATTTAAACAACCTCAAGTATTTGTTTATTTTTACATCATTTGGGCTTCCAGCTCATGAAACCCTCATTGGTAAAAGAATGTTAGAGATGGAGCTACCAGGTAGGAGACAAAGAGGAGATACACTATATTACCAAAAGTATTGGCTCACCTGCCTTGACTCATACTATGAACTGAAGTGCCATCCCATTCCTAACCCAGAGTTCAATATGATGTCGGTCCACCTTTTGCAGCTATTACAGCTTCAACTCTTCTGGGAAGACTGTCCACAAGGTTGAGGAGAGTGTTTATAGGAATTTTTGACCATTCTTCCAAAAGCGCATTGGTGAGGTCACACACTGATGTTGGTCGAGAAGGCCTGGCTCTCAGTCTCCGCTCTAATTCATCCCAAAGGTGTTCTATCGGGTTCAGGTCAGGACTCTGTGCAGGCCAGTCAAGTTCATCCACACCAGACTCTGTCATCCATGTCTTTATGGACCTTGCTTTGTGCACTGGTGCACAGTCATGTTGGAAGAGGAAGGGGCCTGCTCCAAACTGTTCCCACAAGGTTGGGAGCATGGAATTGTCCAAAATGTTTTGGTATCCTGAAGCATTCAAAGTTCCTTTCACTGGAACTAAGGGGCCAAGCCCAGCTCCTGAAAAACAACCCCACACTATAATTCCTCCTCCACCAAATTTCACAGTCGGCACACTGCAGTCTGAAATGTACCGTTCTCCTGGCAACCTCCAAACCCAGACTCGTCCATCAGATTGCCAGATGGAAAAGCGTGATTCATCACTCCAGAGAACGCGTCTCCACCAAAACCATAAATCGAGCTCTTCACTGGGGTGTTTTTGAAGACACTTTGTCGTCATTTTTTTCAACATCTTTTAAATATGCCAGATGCTCTGTTAAACCGTTCACTCTACATTGGTATAAAAGATAAGAACAGCTGCTGCACCGGTGTAGTCATCTCTAATTACTGTACCAGTTTTTAATTAAGTGGGATTTTTTTTAAACTTTAGTGCAGCCTTAAAAGACAAACTCTGGGACAGAAATTTGTCAGAACAGCTTAAAAAACACAGGACCAGGATGAAAAACTGAACTCGACCACGTCTTTTGTCTTGTGACCACCACCACATAAGAAGGAAATGTACTTCTTCAAAATCAGTACGGTAACTTCTGTGATTTTTGACCAAACACTTGTGACATTTAAGTTTTTCTCCGAACACACAAGAAGGTTTAAAATAGACTTTTACCAAGAAGTCAATAGAAGAAGTAATATCCCCTTGTGAGGGGTTTCACCTTCAATGGTAGAACAACTTCAATGTAGAAGCAGCTCCGCTTTGGTTTAAGAATCCATACAAGGTGGGAACAAGACTTCTGTTGATATTCCTGTTTGGTCATTTAGCATCTGCGACGCTTTTACAGTGTTTCAAATACACATCCCCTCTTTGGCAGCAGCTTTGTTAGATGAACTCGTGCCTTTGGTGTTTTAGAGCAGCGATTCCCAACCGCTGGGCCATGGCACACTATCCAATGTAACTTAATTGGTCCCAAAACTATTATGTATTTATTGCAAATAATGTTTCTGGTGTTCGTCAATGCGTGACAGGCATAGCAATTAATTACTATTCCGCTAGGTGGCAACAGATGGTTATAAAAAACTAAAAGAAGATAATCACAGATGTTGAAGATCTTCTCTAAAGCTGGTTCTATAAAAGAACCAGCTTTGGGGGAAAAAAAAATTCAAAACATGAACACGTTTTTGGACAGATGTAGATTCTAGAAGAAAGACATGATGGAGTGTACAATGGATGAGAAAATATACATGTACATACTGGACATGAGGGAATCAAACCGACAAACTTTGGTTGATGATAGGATTGAGATGTGTGTTTTCAGTTCACACACACACACGGACAGACAAACAACAGCTGCTGAGTCAGCAAACCTCTCACCACAACACCCCCCCAAGAACTGATTAAAACCCAAACACGTGGAATAAAAAAGTACATTAAATCTCACAATAAGGCAAAAACCACAAAAATTAAAAAATCTGATTTCTTGCCTCGTTCATCAACAAAAAATATTTAAATACATTAAACTAAATAAATAAAAAACGTAGATTTCCTATAATATTTTCTAGTCAGAAGGTCATCACGCTTTTCCCTCCTTTGGTTTCTGTTACTTCCAAGTCTGGCCACCGCCTTTGGCTCTCACACACACGCACGCACACACACAGCACTCTCTCAGAACAGTAGGATTTCATGATCCCGTCTTATTGGCGGACATGGATTCCATCGATACAGAAAGTGGACTGACTCGATGCCGCAGAGGACAGCGTAAAGTGAAGCAGGGCTGAGGCCTCTAGGGGCCGCTACAGTTACCATACCTGAAAATACATTTCATTTAAACCGAACACACTCATTTGAGTCACACTGATTGTCTAGTCACAGAACAAACTTGACGCTGAATCTCTTTACAACTCTGGGAAAAAGTCTTAGGCCTTAGAAAACCACTATTTAATAACGTTCTGGCTTGAGTTAGTAGAACCTGAGAGTAATGTCAAAAAAAATATCTGGAACAAATCTGTCAATATATCAATTTGTGGTTCCTGTCACACTACTGTCGCAGGTGTACGGCGCCACATTAAAGTGGAGCTCCGAGCTGTCAATCTGAACATCAGAGGTCTGTCGCACCTTTCTGTTGTTCTTTAGCCAGTGGTGGCAAAAGACTTTTGCACAGTACTGCATGTATTTCTACTTTGTACAACAGGTACATATATATTTTTATTAATATCTATATATAAGTATATATATGTAAATATATATCTATATGTATGTATATATATATATATATAGAGAGAGATATAAGTAGATATATAAATATATTTGCATAAATATACATACACACATAAAGTATGTATATATATGAATATATGTAAATATAAGTGAATGGAAACCAACACTTCTATGTGTACACACAACACAAATTTCCAGCAACAAATATATCACTCCCATTTTTTTAATGGATCATTTGTGACTGTCAGAAATCCGCCCACATGCTAGGCTAGGCTAATCTTTGTCTTGTAGTTGTATGGATGACGTGGGAACAGTGCAGCACTGGGATGACTGGCATCATCACACTTGACTGTCAGGGATTCTCCCTGAGTCTCTGATAAGGGACAATAAAGTTGTGACGCAGACACACGCACACACAAGCCCCCCGCCACCCCACCCCCACACACACACCGCCTCCCCAGTACATTATGTAAACCCAGTAGTACATGCGTACAAATGTAGTGAATGTGGTGTAGTGGGGGGGCGTGACTCAGATGCTGTTCTCCAATTGGCTGTGGTGGTTGGCCGTGTGCGGTGAGTTCTGCTCATTGAGGAGGAGAAGCATCGTCTCATCAGGTCTGTTCTCCTTCGCGCTGGAGTCCGCGGTCACGTCCGTGATGGCGATGTTGGTCGTGGTCACCAGTGGACTGGTTTGGTCCAGGCGGGCCGGATTGTGGCCGCTCTCCGGGGACTGAGGCATGCTGTCTAAACGGGACGCCATCAGACCGTTCTGGGACTGAGTTCGTGTGATCTTTGGGGAGAGAGAGGGAGAGAGAGAGAGAGAGCGAGAGAGAGAGAAAGAAAGACAGAGAGAGGGAGAGAGAGGGAGAGAGAGGGAGTGAGAGAGAGAGAGTGACAGAGAGAGAAAGAGAGAGAATGAGAAAGAGAGAGCGAGTGAGTGAGAGAGAGAATGAGTGATTGAGAGAGAGAGACAAAGAAAAAGAGAGAGAGAGACACACAGAGAGAGTGAGTGAGTGAGAGTGACAGAGAGAGAGTGTGAGAGGGAGAGAGTGACAGAAAGAGAGAGAGAGACATACATTATAATAACACATTTTTTGTTCGTTTTTGTCATTAACTGATGGAAGTGTATAAAGCATTACTACTGTGTACTATTGCTGTATCTACTATTGCTAATACACAGTACTGTACTTAAGTACTGGGACAGCTATACAACAGAGCCAGCCAATCGCTGTTGGCACCTGGTTCTATGCTACACACATTTAAGGACGGATAATCAATTATTGTACTTTTTGCCTCTAAAGATTCTTCATATAATATCATTTCAAGTGCAATGCAACATGTTAGGATCTTTAGCCGACAAACAGTGTGAGAAAAAAAAAGTTTCAACTTTACAGGATTGAAATACTGTGATATGTGAATGCCGGATTTTATGCTGTTTTTTGAATAACCTTTAACGTAAACGTTTGGAATTCTGAAAGAAAAAAAATAGTATGGAAGCACGATGGCAATCTTCATTTACAGAGATTAAAATCTGCGACCAACCTTGACAAACTGCAGGTCAGTGAGGGCGCGGACGTAAAAGTCTGGCGTGTACTGTTGTACAGGGAAACTGTTGTTGAGCTGACTGTTGCTGCCGCTGATGGAGAGGGACTCTGTCCTTTCTGCGCCGCTCAGAGACGCTGTCCGATTCAGGCCGCTGAGGTGTGAGGGTGAGCGAAATTCTGCTGACACACACACAGACACACACACACACACCAAGTTGTCGATAGATTCTAAAAAAAACCCGATATCATGTGGATTAAACTGTTTCTACATTAACAGCATAAATTGATTCTAGATAAAAAATGGACGTTCATTAAAAAAAAAGATAGGGGTCACCAATGATATTGGTCATCAGGGACAGATTTTTCTGGACAAACACCTTGGGGGCCGGACACTCAAATAAAATGAAACAAAAATTATTATAAAATAATATACACTATATTACCAAAAGTATTCGCTCACCCATTCAAATGATCAGAATCAGGTGTCCTAATCCCTTGGCCTGTGACAGAGAGGGGTCAGCGGATGCTGAAGCGCATAGTGCAAAGAGGTCGCCAACTTTCTGCACAGTCATTTGCTACTGAGCTACAAACTTCATGTGACCTTCATATTAGGATGCAATGGTGTAAAGCACGCCGCCACTGGCCTCTAGAGCAGTGGAGACGCGTTCTCTGGAGTGATGAATCACGCTTTTCCATCTGGCAATCTGATGGACGAGTCTGGGTTTGGAGGTTGCCAGGAGAACGGTACATTTCAGACTGCATTGTGCCGACTGTGAAATTTGGTGGAGGAGGAATTATGGTGTGGGGTTGTTTTTCAGGAGCTGGGCTTGGCCCCTTAGTTCCAGTGAAAGGAACTTTGAATGCTTCAGGATACCAAAACATTTTGGACAATTCCATGCTCCCAACCTTGTGGGAACAGTTTGGAGCGGGCCCCTTCCTCTTCCAACATGACTGTGCACGAGTGCACAAAGCAAGGTCCATAAAGACATGGATGACAGAGTCCTGACCTGAACCCGATAGAACACCTTTGGGATGAATTAGAGCGGAGACTGAGAGCCAGGCCTTCTCGACCAACATCAGTGTGTGACCTCACCAATGCGCTTTTGGAAGAATGGTCAAAAATTCCTATAAACACTCTCCTCAACCTTGTGGACAGTCTTCCCAGAAGAGTTGAAGCTGTAATAGCTGCAAAAGGTGGACCGACATCATATTGAACTCTGGGTTAGGAATGGGATGGCACTTCAGTTCATAGTATGAGTCAAGGCAGGTGAGCGAATACTTTTGTAATATAGTGTATATATATGAAAATAATATATTTTTATTTTTTTTATTTTTAATATTTAAAAAATATATATATATAAAAATTGGTCCAACGTAGTTATTTGATGTTTGTAATACTGATAGTTATTTAAGACTCAGTTGTTGTTGTTGTTTTTCAGTTGCTTTAATCGTGGGGACCACATGATATTTTCACAATTTTGGAATCCAGCTGTGGCCAAATTGGACGGTCCGGCAGGCTTGAATCAGCCTGCAAGTTGATGATCACTGTTGTAAAATATTAGTGGACGTGTATCGTGTTAATTTAATACATTTCAGGTCTTCTCATAAGAACACAATGCCGGCTGTGTACGTCTTTATTTTACAATCCCATTCAGAGCAATTACCTTTTCTGCACTTTTTTGTGCAGCCAACGATCAGAGTCCATTTCTTATAAAGAGTCTTTGATTAATACAGATTTAAAAGCCATGTTACACAGGACTAAAACTACTGCTTTAAAGCTGTCCCTACATTAATGATGAGGATTTACTGTGATAAAACACATAAGTTCAAACAAGTTCATGATTCACAGTTAGGTAAAATTCAGATGAAGGTGAAAGGAGTGACGACAATTAGTGACAAAACAGGAACAAAACCCACAAAATGACATCAGGGATCAGACAAACTAAATCTGAGAGTGAAACAAAACAAAACAAAAAAAAAAAACCCAAAACTTGTAGTATTGTCATCCATCGACTACTCATACAACAATTCTCTTTAAGTGGGACAACAACATCATGTCGTTGTCTGTCAGACGTACAGAAGGTGACTCAGAAAAGTTTCCACGCAGCGGTGTCTCAACAGTGTATTTTCAAATGACATGTAATACTACCAAAAAAAGAGTAAAACGCAGTTCAAAACAAATATTTTGATGGAATAAAACCTGTGTGAGTGTTGACATCTACACCTGATTATTTACTAATAATAATGAGCGCCCGGGGAGCAGTGTGTAGGGACGGTGGCACGCTCAGAGCACCTCATTGGTAACTTGACAGCTGGTGGATTCGAACCTGCAACCTTCCGGACCCAAATCCGAGATTACATCCACAGATAACTAGATTATAGATTAAAAGATTAAATACATATATTACAGATTACAGATTACTGGATTACAGACTACTTGATTGAAGAAGTACATTAGGGATCCCTAGATTACAGATTATTAGATTAAAGAAGTATATTACAGATTACTAGATTACAGATTAAAGAGGCAAATTACAGATTACTAGATTACTGGATCAGAGAAGTATATTAGAGATTATATAATAAAAGGTATATTACAGATTACTAGATTACAGATTAAAGAGGCAAATTACAGATTACTAGATAACTAGATCGAAGAAGTATATTACAGATTACTAGGTTAAAAAAAGTATATTAAAGATTACTAGATTAAAGAGGCGAATTACAAATTACTAGATTACATAGTACTAGATTACACATTACTTGATTAAAGAAGCAATTAGAGATTACTATATTACTAAATGACAGGCATAAACCAGGTGGCATTAGCAGTATAATTGCACTATTTTTCAAAGGCAGTGGTAAAGAAGCCAGAGCATGCAGTCGTTACCATGTCATGCATTTTTATTAATTTTAAACTTAAACTTAAACGCTTCTTTATTAGTCATTGTGACACAGCACAGCACAGCACACCATGCACAACGAAATTTACCCTCTGCATTTAACCCATCACCAAAGTGAACAGTGGGCAGCCGTGGTCGGCGCCCGGGGAGCAGTGCTTGAGGACAATGCCATGCTCAGTGCATCTCAGTGGCAGGTGGGGGGTTCGAACCGGGGGCCTTCCGGACCGAAGTCCGCCTCCTTCACCACTAGGCCACCACTGCCCCTATAAAACATTATTTGTGAAAACACCATCGTTTTACTAATATTTATAATAATTTGCCATTATTTAAGAGAAATGTCAACTTAAATTACCTTAAATTAGTTCGACTAATTAGGCGTGCCAAAAAAAGACTCTGATTAATGACTCTTCTTCTTCTTCTTTTTCTTTCGGCTTTGTCCCTTTTTTTCAGGGGTTGCCACAGCAGATCATTGATTTCCATCTCTCCCTGTTCTCTGTATCTTCTACTCTGACTCCAACTATCTGCATGTCCTCCCTCACTGCATCCATATATCTCCTCTTTGGCCTTCCTCTCTTTCTCCTACCTGGTAGCTCCATCTCTAACATTCTTCTACCAATGTATCCACTGTCCCTCCTCTGCACATGTCCAAACCATCTCAATCTGGCTTCTCTAGCTTTTTCTCCAAACCTTCCTGTCTGTGTTGTCCCTCTAATGACCTCATTCCTGACCCTGTCCATTCTTGTCACTCCTAAAGAGAATCTTAGCATCTTTAACTCTGCCACCTCCAGCTCCTCCTCCTGTCTTCTGCCTATTGCTACTGTCTCTAAACCATACATCATGGCTGGTCTCACCACTGTCCTGTAAACCTTTCCCTTCACCTTAGCTGACACTCTTCTGCCACCGATCACTCCTGACACTTTTCTCCAGCTGTTCCATCCTGCCTGTACTCTATTCTTCACCTCTCTTCCACAGTCTCCGCTGCTCTGAACAGTTGATCCTAAGTACCTAAACTCCTGCACCTTCACCACCTCTGCTCCTTGTAGCCTCACTATTTCACTGTTCTGCCTTTCGTTTACACACATGTACTCTGTCTTGCTGCGACTGACCTTCATTCCTCTTCTTTCTAGTGCAAACCTCCACCTCTCTAGGTTCTCTTCTAGCTGCTGCCTACTCTCACTACAGATCACAATGTCATCTGCAAACATCATAGTCCATGGGGACTCCTGTCTGACCTCATCTGTCAATCTGTCCATCACCACAGCAAACAAGAAGGGGCTCAGGGCCGATCCTTGATGTAGTCCCACCTCCACTTTGAAGTCTTCTGTCCTCCCAACAGCGCACCTCACTACTGTTGTACTATTCTCATACATGTCCTGCACCAAACTAACATACTTCTCTGCCACTCCTGACTTCCTCATACAAAACCACAATTCCTCCCTTGGCACTTTGTCATATGCCTTTTCTAGATCTACAAATACACAATGCAGCTCCTTCTGACCTTCCCTGTACTTCTCCATCAACATCCTCAAGGCAAATATTGCATCTGTGGTACTCTTCCTAGGCATGAAACCATACTGTTGTTCACAAATCTCCACTTCCTGCCTCAACCTAGCTTCAACTACTCGTTCCCAAATCTTCATTGTATGGCTCATCAACTTTATCCCTCTGTAGTTGTTACAACTCTGTGCATCACCCTTCTTATGAATTGGCACCAGAACACTTTTTCTCCACTCATCAGGCATCTTGCCAGTCTCTAAAATTCTGTTAAACAAACCAGTCAGGAAATTTACTGCCACTTCTCCTAAACACTTCCATACTTCCACTGGTATGTCATCAGGACCAACTGACTTTCCACTCTTCATCCTCTTCAGGGCTTTTCTAACTTCATCCTTTCTAACCTGATCTACCTTCTTCCTACTAGTCTCTGGCTCCTCGTTTCTACTTTCCCTTTCATTTTCCTCATTTAACAACTCCTCAAAGTATTCCTTCCATCTTCTCAGCACACTTTCCTCACTTGTGATCACATTCCCCTCTCTGTCCTTAATCAACCTCACCTGCTGCACATCCTTCCCAGCTTGATTTCTCTGTCTCGCCAATCTATACAACTCCTTTTCTCCTTCCTTTGTTTCCAAACTCTCATACAACTCCTCATATGCCTTTTGTTTGGCCTTGGCCACTTCCCTCTTCACCTCCCTTGTCCTCTCTTTGTACTCCAGTCTGTTCTCTTCTGTTCTGTCACTGTCCCATCTCTTCTTCGCTAATCTCTTTCTCTGCACA